TTTGAGGCATCCCAGGCCTTCTCCCATGGTTTATTTTTTGAGACCACTTCTCAATATATCCAACATTGGACTGGAAGTTGCTATAAGTACACATTGGCCTAGAAGCCACTGTCTTCCATATCTGCCTCCTGACTACTGGTTTTAGAGTTCTGTAATTCCACACTTTTTTGAATTTTCTTTTACTTTTTAATTTTTGTTATATTTTATGTAAGGCATTGACTATTAATAATAATGTGTATGGTTATTTCCTTTCAACACATACTACTATCTTTGAAGAAAATGTGTTGGTTGTGTTACACCACATTGTTGACTTATAGGCTTGTTTCATTAATTATTTTCTGTGATGATTGAGGCAATTGGGGATTTTTCTAGAACTTGGGAAGAAGTGACATCACTATGTTATGTGCAACAAACAAGTGGGAAGAGTTTCTGCTTCATCTCTTCTCATCCATCATCAGAAACCACAGTACTCATCACAGGGCTGCTGAGCTGCGAAGACCATTGACCCATGGCCATGGGCATGCTCTGCTGCATTTCTAATGGCTCCAAAGAAAAGTTCCTTGAAACATTACTGCTGATCAGTTGTTAATAATTTTCCTTTAGAGGCAGCAGAGTAGCAGTGAATAAGCACTTGCTATTCTTACAGAAGACCAAGTTTCAGTTCACAGAAACAAGTATTATAGAACCAGAGGTAACATCAGGATCAAAATGTAATCATCTCTGTTTTCCCAATACAGGTTATATGATGGAACCCTCCCTGTGCTAGTCATCACAGACCCAGATATGATCAAGAATGTGCTAGTGAAAGCATTTTATTCTGTCTTCACAAATCGACATGTGGGTATTCCTTTTTAAAAATATGAATATTCTACACACCAAATATGTTATACACAGGAATATGTATGTATATAAATATGTATACATGTATTCAACAATAATTTTTGAAACAACAAGGCATAAATAATAAAAGAGAAGGAAGGAGTATATGGAAGTATTTGGAAGAGAGAAATGTTACAATTACATTATAATTTCAAATATAAAAAATAACATGTAAGTATTCATTGACAATTATTTTATGATCCCACATTGTCTAGCTGTTAGGATTCCTGTTTTTCACTCAGGAGGCCTAGGTTCCACTCC